AACACCCTAATTTTCTTTTCTGCACAATTTCTTCACTGATCAGCCATGTCAGATGGTTCCTCCATGTCATCCTCGCCTATCACAACCCAGTCAACAAATCCGACAAACCAAGCCCCCAGTATCGATTCTCACTCAGTTCAGATCACCAATATTCGCCTTAATGGTGACAATTATTGACGGTGGTCCCAGTCCGTTCGGATGTACATCAGAGGGCGAGGAAAGATCGGGTACCTGACGGGAGACAAGAAGGCACTAGCATCGGAGGACCCAACGTACGTGACCTGGGATGCAGAAAATTCAATGGTGATGACTTGGCTTGTGAACTCCATGGATGAGGATATTAGCTCCAACTATATGTGCTACTCAATCACCAAGTATTTCAATTCATTAAAGCGCATTTGGCTGGACATGGATCTATTCAATGATTATGAATGGAAATCCACTGAAGATGCCAATCACTACAAACGAACCGTGGAGGCTCTTCGTATTTACAAATTTCTTACTGGGCTCAACGTGGAATTTGATGAAGTACGAGGACGGATCATTGGCATGACTCCACTTCCTCCAATTGGTGAAGTGTTTGTTGAGGTTCGAAGAGAAGAGAGCCACAGACATGTAATGTTGGGGAAGAAGACTACCAGCGGACCTGTTGAAAGTTCTGCCCTTATTATTGTCGAGACTGCTGCTAATAAAGCAGTCAATTTTTAGCGAAAACCTGAAGAAAAGCCACGGGTTTGGTGCGACTTTTGCAACAAACCACGCCATACTTGAGAGAACTACCGGAAAATCCACGGAAAACCAGCGAATTGGAAGAGTAGCAAGCCTGGTGACAGAAATAGGCGTGCGGTTCCTACTGCCAATGAAGCTAAGACAAGTCCCTTAAGCAAGGAGCAGATGGATCACCTTCTGAAACTGCTGAAATTTAATTCATCGTCTGGTATTCCTAATGTTTTTCTTGCATAAACAGGTAGTGCACTTAATGCCCTTTCTTGTTGTTTAAATTATACTCCATGGATCATCGATTCTGGAGCCTCTGATCATATGACCAGCCTTTCCAATCTTTTTAGCACTTACTCACCATGTTCTGGTCTTGAAAAAATTAGAATTGCAGATGGTAGTTTCTCACCTCTTGCAGGAAAAGGTTTGATAAAATTATCTGAGAATTTAAATCTTAAAAATTTTCTCCATGTCCCTAAACTAGCCTGTAACCTTTTGTCTGTGAGAAAACAAACTAAAGAATCTAATTGTCGTGTAATTTTCTGTGATTCTTACTGTGAATTTCAGGACCGGAGCTCAAGGAAGAAAATTGGCAGTGCTAAGATAATAGATGGACTTTACTACTTTGATAGGGACTTTTCCAGTAATAAAAAGGCTCAGGGCCTTAGTAGTGTTAGTTCTAACTCTATTTATGAACAAATAATGTTTTGGCATTTAAGACTAGGACATCCTAGCTTTCCATATCTTAAACATTTGTTTCCTACTTTATTTAAAGGTTTGGATTGTTCATCATTCTATTATGAAAGTTGTTGCTTATCTAAGAGTCATCGTACTACTTATTTACCAAAACCTTATACTTCTTCAAAACCATTTTATTTAATACATAGTGATGTTTGGGGACCTTCAAGAGTCACTACTATCTCTAGGAAAAAATGGTTTGTTACTTTTATAGATGATCATACCCGTTTATGTTGGGTTTATTTGATGAATGAAAAGTCTAAGGTTGGAAAAAATTTTAAGAATTTTTACACAATGGTTGAAACTCAGTTTCAAGCAAAAATTAGTATTTTTCACACCGATAATGGAACCGAGTATTTTAATGAAATTTTGGGGAGTTTTTTTAAAGAAAAGGGTATTCATCATCGGTCTACGTGTGTGGATACCCTTCAACAAAATGAAATTGCTGAAAGAAAAAATAAACATTTACTTGAAGTGGCTTGTGTTATAATGTTTTCAATGAATGTTCCAAAATATCTTTGGGGGGAAGCTGTTTTAACAGCTTCGTATTTGATTAATAGAATGCCTTCATGTGTTTTAAAATATAGCACGCCATTAGAATGTTTCAAAAGAACGTTTCCATTATCAAGGATATACTCGGATTTACCTCTAAAGGTTTTTGGCTGCATAGCTTTTGTTCATATACCCAATAATACTCAGTCCAAACTTGATCCTTGAGCTGAAAATTGTGTTTTCATAGGGTATGCTTCTAATCAAAAGGGATATAAGTGCTACAATCCCCAAACAAGAAATTTTTATGTAAGTATGGATGTCTCTTTCTTTGAAAATAAATCGTACTTTCCCAAAAATTCTCTTCTGGGGGAGAATGAGGTGATAGAAGAAAATTTTTGGGATTTATCTCCTACTCTTTACCAAATGTGATTTTGACTCCTTCACCACCTCATCCTACTGTTATTCCCAAAATTCAAAGTCAAGAACAATGTGATAAAACCAATGAAAACAATGAAGAGAATCCTAGTCATATAGTGCTAAACATTATTGTATCTGAAACAGGGGAAGAATCACTACAACCGGGCACAAAAGTTCCCACTACTGAGCCTCTGGTTTATACTCGGAGAATACTTCATCAAAAGAGTCAAAGTCAGCCTATTCCTCTTGGAATTGATTAATCTCAATCTTCGGGAACTGAACTTCCAGATATCATCGGTAATTCTGATCCTAACTTATCTTCAGTTCCTATTGCTTTTCCTACTCAAGAACCATTAGACCTTGATATTCCTATAGCTGTTAGGAAAGGTATTCAAATCAAATTTCCAAATCCAAAATATCCCATTGCCAAATACCTTTCTTATGAAAAACTCTCTCATACTCATAGGGCTTTTGCCTCAAAAATCTCACACTTGTTTGTCCCGAGAAACATTTAGGAAGCTCTTGATGATACGAATTGGAAGTTAGCAGTGATGGAAGAGATGAATGCTCTTAGAAGAAGTGGTATTTGGGAGATAGTTGATTTACCTAAGGAGAAAAGAACAGTAGGCTGCAAGTGGGTCTTTACGGTGAAATGTAAAGCTGATGGTAGCATAGAGAGGTACAAGGCAAGATTAGTAGCAAAAGGATTCACCCAGACCTATGGAATTGATTATCAAGAAACTTTTGCTCCTGTAGCCAAGATAAACTTAATCAGAATTTTGTTATCTTTGGCTGTGAATTTTAGCTGGCCATTACACCAGTTAGATGTAAAAAATGCCTTTTTAAATGGAGATCTTGAGGAGGAGGTCTTTATGAATCTACCACCTGAGTTTGAGGGAAAATTGGGACCTAATAAAGTCTGTAAACTGAAGAAATCTTTATATGGTCTCAAACAGTCCCCGAGAGCTTGGTTTGAGAGATTTGGGAGAGTTATGAAGAATTGTGGCTACTGTCAGAGCCAAGCTGACCATACCATGTTCTACAAACACAGTAGAGAAGGTAAGGTTGCAGTGTTAATTGTCTATGTGAATGATATAGTCTTGACAGGTAATGACAATGAAGAATTGGAGAGACTAAAAAAGAGACTTGCAGCTGACTTTGAGATCAAGGATTTGGGTGCATTAAAATACTTTCTTGGAATGGAGTTTGCTAGATCCAAAGAAGGTATATTTGTGAATCAACGTAAATATGTTCATGATTTACTTAGTGAGATAGGTCTGCTAAGATATAAACCAGCCGAGACACCCATTGAGCCCAACCTTAAACTGCAGCATTCTAAAGATGAAGAAGTCCTGAATAGAAAGCAGTATCAAAGACTTGTTGGAAGACTTATTTACTTGTCACATACACGTCTAGATATAGCTTTTGCAGTCAGCATGGTTAGCCAGTTCATGCATTCACCTGGACGAGAACACTTTGATGCAGTCTACAGAATTCTTAGATACCTAAAGGGGACCCCTGGAAGAGGTCTATTGTTAAAAAACCGTGGGCATTTGCAAGTTGAAGCCTACACTAACGTTGATTGGGTTGGGTGTGCTATAGATAGACGGTCAACTTCTGGCTACTGCACCTTTGTTGGAGGTAACCTTGTCACCTGGCGGAGTAAAAAACAGAATGTAGTAGCGAGAAGCAGCGCAGAGGCCGAGTTTAGATCAGTTGCTCATGGAATTTGTGAGGTGTTATGAATTAAGAGACTATTGGATGAATTAAAGGTCTTTAATCCATTGCCTATGAAATTGTACTGTGACAATAAAGCTGCTATTTCGATCGCTCACAATCCAGTGCTTCATGACAGAACAAAGCACGTGGAGGTAGACAAACACTTCATCAAGGAAAAGCTCGAAAATGGATTAATCTGTATGACATACATTCCTACTACCGAGCAAGTTGCAGATGTGCTTACAAAGGGACTTCCTACAAGATAGTTCGACCGACTAATTGGCAAGCTGGCTATGGAGGATATCTTCAAACCAGTTTAAGGGGGAGTGTTGAAAAGGAAAGATTTGGTAGTAATACTACCAAATATTATTAGCTGTAAATATAATATTTGGAGAATATTTTCTGTAAATAGAATATTGGTCAAATGCTGTAAAATAAGAAATTATTAAATAGGTCAGCTAGGTATGTATGTATGTGTATTCTCTCCTATAAAGAGAACCTGTATAAACTCGTGAATTGTGTGCTAATACAGAGTAAAATGTTTTTCTATTTTTCTTTCCTTTATAGTTTATAGGGTTTTAAGTGGACTGGTTTTGTACTTCACCGCTGCATATATTGTACTCCGGTAAAACACTATTGTTTCTGTCAAGACATAGGTAAATGATGGAAGTAGGATGGTCTCAGATGCCGAACATCATTCTTTGGAAAACTTCTGTTGTAAATCATATAGCTAACAAGGACATACCAAGTATTGGGGGTAACAAGATTAATTGGAATGTCATTTCAATGAAAAGAATTTTATTGAAAAAATAATATACTTACAATACAATCAATCAATCACATATAATAGGAATACAAATACAAAGTAATTTGTTAACAATCAATCTTCTTCAAAAAAAACAGTTTCTTTCTGGCAATTAAGTTGGCGGCATCTCATAGCGGCACAGGGGGCAGCAATTCCTCTTCTTCAACCATTGAAGAATGCAATCTACATGATACATGTGCAAACAGGGCAAACGAGCAACGTCCATCTCAAATTCGAATTTCTCCAAACATATGGCACACATGGGTATCTCTTCTGTGCAATTCATCGAACACGTAGAGGGTGGACACAAGTGCTGAAATCTCAGTTTTTCCAAGCCCTTAACATCGACCTCCTCCATTGACTGGTACGTCTCCACTAGAACACGAACCACAATCACCGGTACGGCACCACAGGTGGTACAAACTTGACATGCCGGCATAGTTCCACAAGCACGACATCCATCTGTGCCTAACGTCCGGCGAGCGAAAGACATGATGTCGTCGATCATATGGTTGTTGCTGTCATCTATGGAGATATCCATGAGAGAGACCAAACGACATATGTATTGACGCATTATGTCTTGCACGTGATCCTCCGATGACATTAGGTGCAAAGTCGACGCCGTGAAATATTCTTTGGTCTCGATCTGATACCCTCCTCCGCCGACGGAATCAGCGTTGAATACACGTTCATCAACGCAAAATTTGATGAGAAGCAAATTAGGGTGCGATTTCTTGCCAAGTTTTGCAGCGTCTCGATCAACCTGCCATGCGTAACTGGTTCGGCTTGACATGTTAATTCAATGATCGGTGAGTTCAATTTGCAGCGATTGGGGGGAGATATATAGAGAGATATTAGGGTTTCTTGCAGCGATTGAGGGTGATATATAGAAAGAGAGACCTGCGTTTGCTCTTAGATGACCGTTCACTTGAAAAAGATTGGGGCTGTAGACTCTGTAAATGCCACCCACAACGGTTATATTAGGGAGGATTTTAGAGAAAAACAAACGGTTATGGGTTTTGGGTGGTTTTTGAATTTGGAAGATAAGTACTTCAGTTGCATATTGACATATATAATATTAATTATATGAATTTAGGACTCTGAGAAAAATATATATATATATGAATTTAGGACATAAAAATATGAAAATTATGTGGTGACTAAATTTTCTTATTTAATTAATTGCAGTATTCTTAAATTCTACGCATTAATTATTTTATTGAAACCCAACACTTCTGTATAGATACAACCATGGCTTCACAAAAATTTGAATCATAATAAGTAAATAAATAAATTTCAACCTAATAAAAATTAAAATTACATGTATGTATTTCAAGACTCCGTCTATGTTGAAAACTAGATCCGGAATTATAATTAAAAAACATTCGTTGATAAGAATTTGAGAGCGGTACTCATTAAGAAAAATTTAAGTCATACAAAATGAGAATCGGAGCGAGAGCGCATGCGGAACATAAGAAATAGAGCGCATAGAAACTTTTACTTGGAATATATAAGTCATTCACACAAATAAGATCAGACTTGGTTCATCCAAAATTTGGATTATGTCGGCGAGATTTCTCTATGTCCAGAAAAATGGCACATAATGCAAGAAGTTTAGAATGCTCTAGTATAATATAACAACTGTAGAATATATTAAAATACCATTCAAAAAATTCAGGTCTAAGACATACATTATTTATTTAGTTTCACACTACCCATCAACTGAATGAAATTGGTTAGTATCAAAATGTTTTTTTTTTATTTTATTTTGAGATTTTCTTCGAGGAAATAATAGATTATTGGCTAATACTCAATTTCATCTAAATGAACGTGTGGTGAAACAGAAACACTCCATGGTTTGAAAGCAGCCATTGGAAGTAAGAGAATTTCATGGCTCAAAAATGTACAATTCCAAAATGGAGATAGAAGATCCTTGATATTTATCCAAGATTTTTGGTGGAATGGCTCCTCTTCTACAACCCTATGGTTATAGGATCAGAAGACAGTTTGAGAATGGGTCCTCTTCTACAATCCTATAGTTACATGATCAAATTATGGAAAAGGAGACTCGAGTATAGGCACAGTTCTGCTCAGGTAGATGGACGCTCTATAACTAGGCCACCGGGTAATGCCTGATCGCAAGACAATTTGACATTTCCAAAAGACGCTAATATTAGTGAGGTTCATCAGCTTATAATAATCTCACCTGAGTTTGCACTAACTTTGAACATTTTAATTAATTGTGTTTAAAGGAAAAATAACTATCATTTAATAAGTAAAAATTTCTTCTAAGTCACAGAATTTTGGTGCATACATAATGCTATCATCAATAATAAATCTCATCTTGAAGAAGAGATTGCCTTCAAGCTCGTGACCAGTACTAGAAGTTTAGCATTGCATTTCATAATCATCCCGATAAATACTTTCAGCCATTTGCCAGACTTGAAGAGCATTGTCTTCAGCGACACTCGAGATGACCCATGGCTCATTCTTGTTCCAGGAGAAATCAGATATCTTCGCTTTGTGACCACCATGAGAAAAGAGAAGCTCGGGTGGACCATCTTCGGCTTCTCCTTCCAGCTGCTCATCTCCAATCCTAAAGGCATTAACACATCAGTTAGATGAGGGAAACTTACGATATCATGTCAAATGAACAATTAAATTCAAATACTCAAGGATGGCAGGAGATGAAGATTAGCATGAAGTATGTAAATTAAACAACACAAAATGCAAATCAATAGCCCGGATTTACGAATTTGTCCCCTATAATATAACACCCACTTTATCTCTTTCATCCCAACAGTCAACTTCCAATGGCTCCAAAATAGACCATAATGCCTCAGTAGCTAACAGTAGAAAAAAGAAACTTTCGGAATCTAATAAGAAGCATTCCGGCCCTGAAAAATAATCCAATTTTTTTTTTTATTTTCTCACTCATCTATTAAAACTAAGGGCTACTGGTTAGTGCACTAGCAAAATGCACGGTTCGATTCGTGGTAGCAGCCACTTTGCGCAAATAATGTGTTATGAAAAAAAAATCGAATAGGAGTTTATGAGAATAAAGAGAAAATTAATGACAAGAAAATAAATAGCATACGCACAAACGAGACAAGGATTTATACGTGGTTCACCCTCGCAAATAGGGTTACGTCCACAGGCGATGATGATTCGTATCAGTATAAAGAAGAAGATTACAAACTGAAGAACGTTTTGGTTCTTTCTCACAATAATCTCTCTTCTCACTCCACTCACTCACCAACAAAGAAGACTCACTCAACACTCAAGAAATACCCTAAATAGTATATGGTTTACACAAAGAGAAAAACCCACGCAAATACAAACTTCAACTCTCTTTTGAAGATTGTACACACAAAAAAATTTTCTCACACACACAAAACCAATATACTCTCCTGATCCGAATATTGTCTTACTCTTGGATGCCTCTCAAATGTCTTTCATCAAATGTGTGCAAGGCTATATAGAGCCCAAAAAATACTTGGTGTCCAAGTATATTTCACAGCTTCCTTTGGAAGCCAAATGACACTTGCTGCCCAAGAATTTCGAAGCTTCCTTTGGAAGCTACACCATCACACTTTTGTAGCCATTAAGATTTTTGCCATGTCATAAATAAATTTTAGACAAATTTCTAACATAATGCCAAAAATTAGGTCTCTCTCTACTCCACCCCTTCCGGAACCCTCTACCCTCTATCAATGGGACTGGATAAGGAACCTTTCTACTCATCTTTTTAACACTTGAATGGAGCATAAAGCAATATATGATTTTAACACGAGAAATGAAAGAAGAGCAAATAGATCAAATGATGAACAAATTCTAGCAGCCATTTCTTGGTGTGAAATACCTGCTAAGGTCCCAAACCATCAATCTTCTGTCATCAGCGGACGAGGCCAACACAGTTTCATGATTAGGATCCCATTCTACCTGGAATACCTCCTCCCTGTCAACAAAAAATTTATAACAAATAAAAATAAAAATAATAATCCCAGTAGGCAATGCAATTAGTAAGTCAATAGATCTGCAGTCCTGATAGATTTTAAAACTTGACAACTTGTAGAATGCCAAAGGGGAAAAGAAATTTTGTTTCTTCCACGAAACTATATCCCAAAAGACCAAGAAAAGAGTAGTTACCATAACAAAAAAACTTACAAATTACAATTAGAATGAGCAAGTATATGGACCCAACACATTTCTTTCACAAGTCTTATCTTACATTTCTTAGCCTTCCTTCAGGCTTCAGGTTAGATCATGGTTTCATTTCAAAACACTTGGTTCACATGTTGATTCTGAAACCTAAATGAAAAAACGTCACTGCTGAGCATGTCTTTGCAGCAGAAGTCACAATCGAACCAGAGGGCTAGCTTCTCACATTTCAAACCAATTGAAGTCATTTCAGACTTATCATTTTGTTTACATATATATATATATATATATATATATATATATATATATATATATTGTGCATATAATATATACATATATAACCATATTATTTAACTTTGTAGATGAGTGCTGTACTTAATTTAGACAGTGCATATCTAAATATACAGATGCACAAAATATATAATTAAACAAGCAAATTTAATTTAGTTTGTCAAATGTTGAACTCAAATTAAATTAGTGCAAACTTAAGGTGGTGTAGTCAGAGCCTGAAGGCAATTCACTTTCAAAACCCCAAATTTATTCTCTGTTTTTTTTTTTTTTTTACCTTCCAAAAAAAAGTCATAATTTCTCATGGTATTAGTTTTAAAATCTACTTGAAGAGCAAAGGGCATACATGTGACTGCTCAAAGCATGCAGTGGAGATGCTAACTTCCGCATATCGAACAGACCAACAGTAGTATCTGAAGATGCCGTGGCCAGAATCCATTCATTAAATGGATTAAATGACAGATAGTTCACCTGGGATTGGCAAAGAGAAAAGTTATTAGTAACATAAGGCATAACAAGACCATAGAAGTTTCCCACACAGAAATTGGAAACAACTTGAACGGCAGGGACTAGAGAGGCTTTAAAAGGCTTGACAATGGACTTCGTTTCACTTTGCTAGTAAATATTTTAGACATAAAATAAATAAAAGAAGAAGAAACGGAGCAGGGCTTCTTAAACCAAATTACAAATTCCTGTTTTTGTTTCTAAAGTTACAAACGGCAGCTCCCTTCTATTTAGGTAATTCCAAGTGGAAAACACCACAATATATTTAAAAATTAAACAGATGAAAATGACCATTAGTCAAGTTCCCATAAACCATAAATATATAGAGGAAAACGAATTAGCCATACAAATTATCTTTCCCAAAACTTTCACTATGCAACATACATATAATGGTATATCTATTACTTTCAAAGTTAGCATCCGAAGATGTATCTTTGAGCTACTTGTCTCTTGCTTATGAACCAAATTTTACATAACTAGCAATAAAAAAAGGCTAGCCCATTGCAGGGACCATGCGGCAGCACAAGTACAGTGGCATAGCTATGTTGAGACCAGTGGGAGCAATTTCCCCCACTAGAATTTTCAGTTATTTATATTTTATATATACAAAATTTGAAAATTCCTAAATTGCCACCACTGAACTTTTAAAAATTTCACAGAAGACCTTAAAAAAACTGTCAAAATTCAAAAAGACTCTTCATTTTCTAACTCATTTGTCTAACAAAATTTTCAAGGTTAAAAAACCCATGTCTTTTCCTCCTTCATGGATCTCACAAAATTTTTAAGAATCAAAAAAAAAAAAAACCCATCATTTACAATTTATTTTTTTTTTTGGTTCAAAATTTCTTATCACATTATTGTTAATGTTTGCCCCCACTCAAGTAGATTTCTGGCTCCGCCACTGCCCAAGTAGGCGACTTTTAAAAGCATGAAACATGAGAAGAATTCTTATTAAATTTAAACCAAAAACTGTAGCAGAGGTTAACATGCTTGTGTTAGAAATTGGTTTGGGCCCATGGGTGCCCAACAAAACACAAATATGGTACAATCAGACAAATCCTATAAAACATTAGCGGAAAACTAGGTAAACAAAGATTAGTATAAGTCTTTATTTTAATGGCTAGCTACACAAAACATAAGGAAAACCTGTTTAATTTCTCAGAGAAACTGGCTTATGATAAAGAATAAAGAATTTCTTGATTTTGGCAAATTTAAAGCTATGTTTTAATTTTCTTTCCCTACAAATAAGGGATATTGCACAACTGACTACATCAAGATAGCAACACAATAAAGGGGCTAATAATGAATACCCTATCCATTGATTGTGTGGTTGAAAATAGAAATCTTCAAACAACTTCTTTTTCAAGCCATCTTGTCAGGCAATAACATAGTCCTATTTGAAGTGTTACAATCAATTGAAGCAACTAAAAGGGACTAAACTCATCCAAAAATGATCAGTAGAAAATCAAACTTCATACCTCTTTATTGACACTGAACTTAATTCGAGTTTTTAATGGACAGTAAAGGTGTAATAATTTTTTTTCTTTAGTTTAAGTGTGCTGTTAGTCAATGATGTATATAGGTTGTCGTCACACCATTCCAATAATTATTATTTTCTATTTAGGGTTTTCTATAATAAGTTTAATCTCATCCACTTAAGCAAAAAAGGAAAAGGAGTTTAATCTGATTCCCTTGATGCTCATTCATCTCATCATCCTAACATACTTATATTATGTGAAAATGAATTACATAAAGTTGAAGACAGAAAGATGATATCTACAATATCCAGTTAGAAACATCATGTTTACTGCTTATAAATTCTATGACACATAAATCATTGCTGTTAGTACATCAACTAACAAGGAAATTTTAATCAAATGAACTTTAGAACAAAACAAGTTAGATCATAATAAAGAAGCTTATACATAACTTAGCATCAAAAAATATTTGGATGCAAAAAAAAATTGATTTGATGCATGAAAGTGACACAATCATACAAATGAAATAATGCTGAAAATTACTTCACCTCTTTCTCATGAGCTTGGACTGAATGTTGGGGTTTGTTTGTCCGCAAGTCCCAAATCATTAGCCAACAATCATCACCCACGGACCCAAATAAATTTTCATTCTTTAAATGCCACGAAACATCCTCAACCACACTTTTATGATCCTGAAGTCAAAATCTTGAGTAATCAATTTAAGTGTACAATGATTACAGAGACTCACTCTTCCATATAAAAAGTTAGCTCCAAAACAATTATGACTAACACAAAATGAAAACTTAACTATCAAATTACCTCATAAACATGCATGGAATCAAGAACTTTATCTTGGGGCATTGTAGACACATCCCACAAACATATTTTGCAATCATTTGAACCACTCAAAAGGTAGCCCTCTTTAAAGGGGCTCCACGACAACCCATACCCTTCTTTTTCGTGACCCCTCAATTTCAAATCAGGAGCGCAAGATCCCCCTTGGTGCTTCATTGGCTGTTTGTTACAGTCAAATACATACACTTCACAACCACTAGTCTTTGCCGCAACAACAGATGGCTTCTGAGGCATACATCGTGCTCTATTCAATTCTCCATCAATATAAATCTTTTGCATTATCTCCACCTATTCAAAATATTAAGAAAAAACTAAAAGTTTCACTTTGTAATCACACACAAACATATACATATATGTATACATACATGCTTACGCATACAATCAAGTTCATACATATAGAGGTACATATGACACACTCATCCATCAATGTGTATATTTTGTGTTGCCTCTGTTACTTGATGTGTACTTCCAAGTGTATTAATTTCAAAAAGATATACACACACATATAACCATAAGCACACACTTCTCTTTACAATTTACAAACGATATATATATATATATGTTTGCCATGAATTTATAACTTATTTGGTTTGTAATTTTGTCAAGCATATGGTGTTTATACACACCTAGAGAGTGAGATGTAAACAAAAGATACACAGAACGTATATACATAAATATATATATATATGTATCTATGCACAAGCATAAGCAATCACATCTTTTAAAAGTTATCGCTTGTGTTTATTTCCTCTACCCACAAATGTACAAGTATAACGAATTCACTTTGTAATTTCATCGATCAGATGGTGTTCATACACGCCCAAAGAGTGAAACCCACAAAACATATATATATATATATATACACACACACAAACAAAGATACACAGATATAAATAAACACATATATAAATGCAGCTTACGGACCTTGGGAATTTTAGGGTTTGTTTCAGGTGCCATGAGCTGGTGAGAGATGGGAAGGTGAGCATCGGCTACCATGAGGAAGTTGGGGAAATCGTCGGATGTATGGGTCCCAAGTATCAGCTTGTGAACGGAGAAGCAATCGTCGCCGTCGGATTGTTGTGGAGGCGATGGAAGCCACTGGACGGTGAGGGATGGCCACTCGAGGGCGTGAGAAATGATGAGATCGTACAAGAATGGGCTGTTCTTCTTCCACACCGTGAACTCCTCCTCCACCACCTGATCTCCAGCACCCCCAGCCTCTTCTTCCCCTCCCATCTCTCTCTGTCTCTCTCTCTCTTCTGGTTTCCCGCCAAAAAACACTTCTCTAGGCGGGCGACTGGGGTGATTGATTATATATATACCGCGAAAGGAAGACAGACGGGTAGGTATTGTCTGCTAGCCCAAAGTATGGACTTGGGCCTATAGAAATCTAGTCTGATAGGTTCAGAAAGGTAGGCTCTTAAAGCCCGGAGGATCAGGGCTTTATGGGCCAACCCCTCCCAATGAAACCCAGTGCAATATAGAGCATAAAACTAAAGCCCAGAGTATTTGGCAATGTATTGCATGTACTAAAACCCAGTGCAATAGTATATTACTAAAGCCCAGAGTAATATATATTGCCAAATGTCAAGTACATGGTTACCTGTGTAATTTATGAGAAATTATTGGATGGTCCTGATCCATTTAATACTTTGTGGATTAATCAAATAAAAGCTTGTGTCAAGATTTCTTTGTAATATATTAATATTATCTTGGGAGGTCATTTTTTCAATCTGAGAATCTAGATTTAACTGATCCATCAAATGTCAATAGACCATGTCCATCTAATTTTATCATAATTTACCCTTTTATGTTACAATGGTTTCCCTTTTAAATTGGTTATAAAAGCATGTTATAAAGCCCAGTGCAATATATATTTCTAAAATCTTTCAATATATATATATATATATTTCTAAAGGCATGTATTAAGAAAGTACACAATATTTTGGGGTATTTTGACATTTGATACCGCTCCCAATAAAAACTCTATGTTTTTCTTAATAACAGAGAAGTGTGGAGGTTTCAAGAGAATGGAGAGTTTTAATTAGGAAAGGTACCACATATCAAATATATAGAGGTGTTGTATACTGGTCTCCAAAATAGGTATTGGGTATCTCAGGGTACCAATAATATAATACCATGTACCCGGCAAATGATAAATTGCCCTTTCCAATTCTCACACTGGGGAAAGGAGTCTTTCGTTGGTTGGGTACCAATTAGCTATTATCCCCAAGATATTAAAAATTAAAAATAAAAAATCCACGATAGCATACTCATTGAGCGGTTAGAATCTGTTTGGCAACCGCTTCTGCTTTGTAGTTTTGTTTTGACCTAAAATCAAAAGCAATGTTTCTCCTTTTGAGTGTTTTGAATATTGTTCCGAAACTTGTTTGATAATCACTATTTGTTATAAAATTTTTGGAAGCAAAAACATATAAACATGTTTAGTAACGTTTTGAAATTCAGAAGCAAAAATATGAAAACATGTTCGGTAACGTCCATACTTCGAAAGCAAAAATATGAAAACATGTTTGGTAACCGTGTTGAAAATATTAGAAGCCAAAAAAAAAAACATGTGTGGTAATGACTGTTTCTATTTTTGTATTTTATTACTTATTTATTTAAAAATAATAATAAATAATACAATTTAAAAAATTTCTGTCATTGGCTGGAAAAAATTGTAGAATTTTTTTTTCTTTATTTCAATAACACTTTTTTTGCATATGGTATATTATTTGAACAACCAACAAAAATTTGTATCATATCTTTCATTGAGTACAAATTCACTTACAAGTGTAAATGTAAAGGTACTGGACTTTAGTACAAATGCACTTTCAAGTATTTATATATGTAAAGGTGGATTTCTTTCCAATGAAGTTTGAAACTTATAAAAAAAAAATTATAAGTAGACAAAGTGTGCATTGTTTTCCAATTTAAAAGTTTATAATGATCTTTGTATCATTGGTATTATACATAAAACTGTAAATATGAAATAAAAGTTTGAATAATCATCTTTTAAAAAACTGAAAACTAGAATGCTGCAAATAACATGTAAAAATAAGACAATGCTGATAAAATATTTAAAACCAACCAAAATTGACAACTTGCAGTCCCATAACACAGCTTCTACAACTTGGAACTTCATATGCAAATCACAAGTACATAATAGATACAAGTTGAAGTTCAAATTACAAGTACATATATAGGGCGTATTTAGGAGGTGTGCTGGAGCCCATCCCAAAATAAAATAAATTTTTTTTTTTTTTTTTATTATAGTCAATTTTAGCCCAGTCATAAAATTAAAAAAATATATATATATTATTATTATTATTATTATTATTATTATTATTAGCCCACCCAGTCCACCCCATTAACAATTCCTGAATCTGCCCCAGGTAACTTTAAGTCTGAAGAGTGACATGAAATCTCAAGAAAATGTGCAGATACACTAACTGAACACAACCATGACATTTTGCCTGAAGTCATCAATCTGTAGGCCCACAAAATGAACACCACCATGTCGAACTCATTTCAAGTAGCATTACCCACAACAAAGGATGGACATTAGCATAAACTGAGTTAAATGTAACAAGAGATGGCAAAATTGAAGAACTAACCTTTTTTCATACTTGTTTGAAACACACAAGCAACCAATGACTAAACACCACCATGTTCAGCTCATTTCAAGTACCATTACCCACAACAACAACAAGAAGATGATAGGCATTAACATAGACTGAGTTAAATGTAACAAGTGAAGGGAAATTTGAATAACATATACCTTTTTTTCAGACTTGTTTGAAACATCAGCAACCAATGACTCAACACCGTCATGTTCAGCTCATTTCAAGTCCCATTACCCACAACAACAAGAAGATGATAGGCATTAGCATTGTAACGACCCGAAATTAGGGGTTATGACAAAACAAGTTTTGAAAAAACCATGCAAATAAAATCAGTTGATTCATGGTCCTAAATCAACCCAAATAATCTCAAACAACTCCCATTGTGCTATTCTAATATTCACCAAGCAAAATAGATCACAGCTACCTCAAAATCTACATAGTGGGTACTCAAAAATTCGTTGAAAAATTCATCAGGATAAGAGTGCTGAGTTAAGAGTAAAATCTACACAGCAGTGAATAGAAAATTCATTTGAAATCGAAACAAAGCAAACAAAAATGATTTGAAAACTAGATTCAAAGTGAAACACAGTTGAGCAACTCACGGAGGCTGAAGATTTTCCAATTAAATTAGATTTGAGAAGTAATTAACCAGTACTTAGTTCGAAGAAAATCTAAGCAACGAATACTTCAAAAATTTTAGAAAATTCGCTTTACCTCCGAATTGGGCAAAGTAAATTTATTTTGACAGTAGACTTATGAAAGAATAAATCCACAAATTTTTATAATGATCCGGTCTCAAGAAGTTGGTCAAATAATTCATGTAAAATCTGTTTTCCAGCAGCAATTTAAAGATGGACAGCAGGTACTCTCGAAATTTTAGAAAAATATCTGTTGATCTAAATATTACAAAATTTTATGGAGAAATACTAGATGCATAAAGGAAGCTATGGTAAAAATTTGAAAGTATTTGGATGAATACAACTCCTTAGAGAAATTTTCGAATTTCAGCACAGGTTCTCATTACCCTTGAAAGTGTTGTAGTTATTGATTTCATTTACTTGGAGACTATCTATTGTTGTCCTTTTATGTGTTTGATAAAATGCTTGATTTAATTGTAATTTTGGGAATTGATGTAAATTGAGGATTTCATGTGGTTATGCGTGTATTTTAGGGTATAGGAATCACCACTAAACTCTTCCTCTAAACAACTAGTCTTTGACAAATTTGGGGAAATTCAATGTTGTAAACCAAGTGTGTGCTAGCAATTGAAACAATAAGCATGTAGGACTAAACAAGTGTGAATTGTCTACTTATGCTAATGTGTAGCACAACTCATCAAGTAAAGATATTAACCATTCAATAAACCCACAATTGTAGCCCACAACAATATAGAGAAATGCACATCATGTGACAACAAGCATGAGTCATCAAATACAAGCATGGATTGTCTACCTATCTAGGGAATCAAATGCAATTACACTACAATTACACTAATGACAAGAAAATTAAATTAATTAACTAAAGTTAGAAAACAATCCATCAAGCATAAGTATAACCCATCAAATCAATCACAAGTGTAACCATTAAGCACTATACATGATGTCACAGGGGTAAATTCTGAACACGAATCTAGTGCCCTGTAATGGCACTAAGCCAGAAATATGAACAACTTTTATTTGAATTTCTAACTTAGCTCAGCCAACTCACACTTGCTGCCTAGAACACGCAACAAGTAAAACACTCTCACACACAAGTATAGTTGCAAGAATGTAAAGACAATAACACCCACGATTTTACAGAAGTACAAGGCTTCCAACCTTTTACTATTATTCACAAAACAGTACAAGGAAAGGCCTCAACCTGCAGAAGCATACAAGAGTCTCTCACAACACAACTTTGTGTCTCACTCTCAATCTCTCCTCTCTACAAAACCCACATTAGCAATATATAGGCAAACTCTCAAAACCGTCCACAACTACCCACCAAAGTGGTGGATGACACCCCCATCCACTTAGGATCATGTTGGCACCCACTAAGTGTGCCAACATTACATATGTAGTTGACAAGCCCAACTACTAGCTTGTTGGCACGCTCTGCTTATGCCACTTGTCCACAGGAAGTTACACATTATTTGCCACTTTCTATATACCAGCATAGTGGAAAAAAACCGACTCTAACCACTTGTGTGTTGTCCTCTCAGATCTGTGCCACATGCATGGGAAGTTACTCAGCACACCCCCACTCCCTATAATATATGCACACGAGTGGGAAGTATTAGTAACTTCCCCTAACCAACTAAGCCCACTTAGTGGGAAGTGTAACTTCCCCCAACCAACTGAGCCCACTTAGTGGGAAGTGTTAGTAACTTCCCCCAACTAACTAAGTCCACTTAGTGGGAAGTGTAACTTCCCTTAACCACCTGAGCCCACTTAGCTATATTCTGTAACCATAAGCCATGTCTGAGTCCCCTGAGCCAACCTTGCACGCTGAGCCTTGCCTACGCCCACTTCCTTGTGCCCATGTCCCTGACTTGACTATGTCACACGTCCATGACTTATGTGGTCCATGCTTTAAGCAACATCTAAGCCAACCTTGTGAACTTAGCCCGTGCCAAGCCCACTAATCTGCACCCACATATAAATGTCTCAGAGTGCACGACATCAA